AGTCCTCTATTATGGTCTTAATTTATAGGAAAAAAGAAACGTCTACATTAATGCACTGATTGTTTTTTTTTTTTTAGAAAGAATGCACTGAATTTTCCTCTCTCTTTTTTCCAATCATTTTTTTCTTCCTTATTGAAATCAAATTTAATAGGTTACGTCCCGTGTATTATTGTAAAATACCAATGTTCAAGATTGCCGAGAAGTCTTGAAAGACTTTTTTTTTTTACATTTTTTTTCGATAACGTGCAATAGACTTTTCTAATAGGAGAAACGTTGATTATTTTTCCTCGACATTATATACACTAGGACACAAACTCCGCGAAATCGCGGGATAAAGAACCTTCGACTACATTTTTAAAATAAAATTGTTGCCAATAAAATCAATTAATATTATACAATTTACTTTCGATACACATACATGCAAACATAAATCCATAATCATCTCAAATGGATTTTAAAGCATGGTTATTATCAATTCTCAAGTTGATGTAACACAAATCAGATTTATGAAAACTGTGTAATGAAGAAAAAAACAATTTATATCTCATTTCAGGGTCAGAAATTTAACATTCCGTAAAATTAAACACTTTTTTTTCTTCCAAAAAGACGCAATCGCACTATAATATTCACATAAAACGATAGACACAACCCTATGATACATTAATAGCCAAATATATTTCTGATATAATCGTATCGGAGGATCGCGGTTATTTCCAATGGTTGCATTTTACGTCTGATATGTAAAATAGTTATATCGAAAAGTGCAACCCAACAAAACAATTAGAGTGAAAAGACGCACATTTGGAAAATAACTATAGACTGTTGTTTGAAAGGACAAAACCATAAGATTCAACTATAAAGCGATTATGTCGACAAGACACAACCCTTGAAAAAACTATAAAGCGGTTATATCGGAAAAATGCAATTTTAAAAGTGATTATATCCAAAAGACGCAACCTTTGAAAATAACCATAAATTGGTTATTTTGAAAAAACACAACTCTTAGCAATAACCGACGCAATGTTTGTAAATAACCATAAAACGTTTATTTTCGAAAGACGAAATCCAACAATATTCAATTTTAATTATAAGATTAAAATGTTTTTTCTTCCACACGCATTTCATGGACTGGAACCATAGCTCTTAATTTGTCTAATCAGTTAAAAAATTTATGGATTTGGATGTCATTTAAATCAAATCATTTGTGATTTGGCATATTTAAATCGTTCAATGCATATAAAAAAATATAATTGATAACCCAAATCACTTGTGGGTGTCTTTCATCCTTGTATTTTACAGCAATGTTAACGCGGATTTAATATTTTGATGAATGCAACCCATAAAAACTGTTTTCAATTGTAAAAAAATCAATGTTTCCGTAGACAATTGTTAAATAAAAATACACACTACAAACATCACCAATTTTCGAGAAATAGAGTTGGAATTTCATTCGTATAAAATTTGTATTTTCTAAAGAAATCCAAAATTCTAAACAAATCAATAATTTTTGGAATTTCTACAATAGTAAAAAATCAATATTTTGAATAATTTCAAAATAATAGAATGACGTTATTTCTTATGCTTCAAGTGAATTAAATAATTAGTAACCATGATTAACAGTATGTTCAACGGGGAGAGAAATAAAGAACGTAAAATATGCAAAAATTTTATTTCCAAAAAGACGCAATCCTTGAAAAATAACCATAAAGCAGTTTTTATACCTAAAAGACACAACTCTTGAGAAAATGGTTATATCTAAAAAACGCAATTCTTGATTTAGCGGTTTATCGGAAAGACACAATTTTTGACAAAACGGTTATATCGAAAAGACAACCATAAAACGGTTTTTGTCAAAAAGACACAGTCCTTGAAAATAACTTCGAAAAAACTAAACCCTAGAGTAAATCTATAGATATAAAGCGGTTTCCCAAGAAGACACAACCCAAAAATATTCATTTATTTAGGTTTGCTATTATTTATAGAATAGGTTTATAACCATGAACTATTAGAATATTAGAGTGTTATAATATTTTTAAATTAGTATATAAAGTTTATATATGGATCAATCTACTTATGGTTTTGAATTGAAAACTCTTTTAAAACAAAAAAAAAAATTGGATGATCATTATCTCTGTATAAAGTATGTGTGGCTTGCTTTGGTTTGGTTTCTTTAATTTTGGTTGATACTCTGTGTTTTTGGAATAATTTGTTTGGTTTTTATTTCATTTAAATATGAAAATGAAATTCAGGGGAAAAATTTGTTAATGCAATTCGGAATAATGAAATTCTTAATAGGCTATAACATTTGCCCACATAATTTATTACACTCAATAAATAAATCATATATATGAAAGGAGAATGATCCCTCTCCATCTATGCGACATGTGGCGCAAGAGTATTTACACTTGAATGGTTGTCTTTTGCACTTTCAAACGTAAGCTTTGAATAGCATTTACAATCATTTACTCTTCAGAACTTTGATTTCAATTTCACGTTCTCTTGTTGTCTATACAAATTATGATAAAATGTCAATATAAAAATTTGGCTGAAATTTTGACATGTGAAGCCTGAGAAATCCGCAGCATATCATTAATCAAGTTTTCTCAACTCTGGGTTTGTTCGATTAAAGGTAAACAAATATATACCTGATATATGCAAATTAAATTCTTAGTGTATGGTCTTTTGTACGAGTGTTTTTTACAGGAATTTATTGGCCGTTGCGACAAGTAAGAGTGCATTGGTAAAGACAAATCATGCTTGAGTAAGAATGCATTGGTAAAGACAAATCATGCTTGAGAAGTGTCGCCAATGGTTTGGTGATCTTAAGCTATGATGCTACGTTATGTAAATTTTATTGGGAAAAATCATCTTCATCTCGAGCTGGTATTATCTAGAAATCTCTCTTCTAATATAACTCGATTTCTTGTTTCAGTGGTGTAAACCATTTTTAAACCTCCTGTTGAAAGAATCTTATAGTGTCATGGGTTTGTACAGTAATTTTTTGTGAAATGAAATAGAGGATATGAGTACTTTTGATCTACATTGATTTCAATTCAAAAGTTTTTCGGTCCAAAATAAAGATGTCATTGTTTCAATTTTGATGGACACACAAATCTCCTTACAGTTGATATATCTTAGAAACAATAAACATATTTTATTTTTATGCTTATATCTATACAAACTCACTTGATCAACGCAACATGATTATATCTTATTTTACTTATTCCCAACCATGTTATGTGTACAAATTTTTTATGCACATTTGAATGAGATCCTATGAACACAATCACAGTTTATATGGTCTTTTCTTGTAAACGGTCTTTGAAGTTGGGTTGCTTGTTCTCATTCCAATAGAATCAATTCGAACCTTTCAAGACAAGTTTATAATATGCTTATGGTCACGTAGATGTTCATACGCATAGATAATTCTTGCTTAGCCTCTTCATCACATGATTTTATGTATCTTTTGGTGAATATTACACAAAAAAACTTCAACCACGGTTTTTTCTCCCGGACCTTCCATCACAAATTTACACACTACAATTTTTAGAATTTTAATCGATAAACAAACCCGCACGTATGCGTGGGTATTGGCCTAGTTCAGTATGAAACTACAAATGCAGATGGTTGTACATTTAGATAAACAAAACTTGATGAAATCAAGTATTCATCTAAAATTTTTATCCTCGAA